ATTAATTACTGACAACCGTCGTGATTATTAATTAAGGAAATTGCGCGCGGCGGTAAATGCGATGTGTGCTCTTTTAATTAATAGCCATCACGCGCGAAATTTTCGGGCTGGACGAACTATCTTGCGAAGTGAAATCGAATACTTAATCAAAGTTCATTCTAATGGTAGTGGGATCCGTTACAACGCGAAGGGCTTTTCGCCTGATGAGTTTTAGTTTTTCGATGGGGTTTCATGTTTATTAGGAATTTGCAACCAAACTTGATGTTCGAGTGTTGTTTTGATTAGTTCTTGGTGATTTGATATGAATACTGTGCTTGACTTGTAAAGTATTCAAATTGTTTTGCAATTTGTTAATGTTTTCGTCTTGTATTATAATTTCCATTTTGTGCGGGCGTCCCAAGTAAATATTGCATACTTGACAATGAAATTTCATGTCCTGATGGCAGCTATAAGTACCTCGGTTATATCTCTGTTGGTTTTCTTTAGTAGAAACACTATTTGTTTAGAAAATTACGCACCGTCAGTCGTACGAGTATGACACTCACTCATACACACGTATTGTTGTTCTGTATGCTCATGAATGCGCTGCTCGCATTGTCTATCTCAACCCATAACGTCTCCACTCCATTTCCAAGTCAACGAGTCTTCAAGTAATCTACTTGCCAGCCCACGCGTCGCATGTGTGTTTAATCTCTTTGTTGGAAATTTCGCTCGCGGACTGCTCGAGAATGCGTGCCATATTTTTCGCATTAATGCAGTGCAATATAATTTCGAGGTCGCGCGCGCTCCTCTCATGCAAGAGGATTTATCATATGGCTTGGAGGATGCTTTGTACTAGCTCGATTAATTTGCCAATTTGCAAGTCGGCCTTCAGTCTACATTTATGCACAGCGAAATCACAAAAATAAAAAACGCTGTGCTTGCATGTGCTCTTGTTTTGCACTCTCGACGACGTTACATTGTTTGCAAGTTTTGAAAAAGTATCAATTCAGAGGTGACTTATTCCTCGATTATTCTTGCGATTCGGTGTGCTTGGCGCAGTGAGTGGATAACGCTAGGAAAACAACCGCACGTCCAACTTTTTCGCCGATTGAATTGCGTTCGGGAAGGAAAGTAATTGCGGAAATTCGATCCGAAACGGACACCCGCTTTCGACAACTTTCGTCGTCCTGCTCTCGTAACTCGATTTAAAAGCTTTCCGCTCGTGCATATTTTCCGCATGAAAATATCCAATTGCTAGCGAGCAACTTTTCGACCAAAACGCTCAACTTTTTAACGGACTATTACTACCGAGGTGAATAATCCTCGTGCGCAGTCAGTCTCATGGGGCCAAGCGAACTTACAAAGAAGTGTCAATTCAAAAATCTTATAAGTTTATAACAAGACGTTGCGTGTCTTACTTGATGTCATTATAATATGTTACGTAAATCAGTCATTACAGGAATCATGCGACGACGAGACTAAGGACTATGACAAAAGGCATGCAATTAATGCAATTAATTTGTAATTTAAATAGCGTGCTCAGAAGATCTGCTTGGTGATTTGTCGCAGGTGTCACGTATTTTCGCGATTGGAATGGGAATGGTTTATGGTGTGCTGCATTTGCATAAATTCTTTGTTGCTTTCGTAAATATTTAGCAATCATAATTAAATTGTTGCGCTCGTGACCTTAATTGAAAAATCACGTAACGTTCGGTTGCAATAGGAATACAAATAATTTAGTCTATGCGAATGCACATGGATGTTCATCAATCATTCAATCGTTGCGTGAGCGATTTCGGCATTCAATTTTCCAAATATTTTCGATGTTGTAGCTCGCGTCTTCCATAACGTATTATTTTCAACATCTTTCCGGCACTCTAAACTCTTGAACTTCTAGTTTTACAAAAATCCATACAACTCAACATAGGGCATAGGGAGAAGTTTGCACCGGCGCCGAAAGCACGAAAATACCAAAGCGGGAAAGCATAAAAGCATTCATTCGTCGTGGATGCGGATCGCGCAATAGGAAGCGCGACACTCTTCGAGGGCCCCGGCGTCACAGAAGCGTGTTCTTGCTTTGCCTGTCAGACTCGTTTGTGCCGCGCCGCGACGCCTCACAATGCGACATAAGGTTAAATATTATAACTTCAATAAACTCGACGCAAAGAGTGCCTGAAAAGCTCTTTAGCTTTTTATTCGGAAGAAAAAAGAGATGATGGAAAAACTAACTCACATCATCAGGTAGGCGTATTTTCCAGTAAACATAAAAAAAACTGAATTAAAATGATTGTGCTATAAAGCATAATTTTTGCAGCTTCTTTTATGAAATCACGTAAACACATGAAAAAGCATTGAATCAGTTGCAGTGCGTTTCATTATAATTTTATAGCGACTTTTATGCCATAGAAAAGTGGCAGAGGCGCAAAGTTCACTTTTATTCAATACAATTTAAAATATGCGCATTTTACACGACTACGTTACTTTCAAGTACATTATATAAATCTGTAAAGTGTTTTCAAGTAGCTAAAGGTGTTATTAAATAATCCAAATTCTTAATATTTTGTTGTTTCTTTTGTCTATATCAGAGAATCACTAGGAACTTGATAACTTCCTGTGGCGGGTCCACAGTTGAAGCCTCTGAGCGAAGTCTCGGTACGTGTCAAAGTTGTGTTTGTCAAAGTGGTTTGAAAGTGGAGACTCCCGTCGACTGTAGCTATTTACTTAATTTCGCGCCGGGTTTGTTTTTAGTCGCTCAGGCGTTTCCACATTGTTCGCGGGCTCTTTCCCGCAACTTCACACTCGAGCCATACAAATACGTGCGCGCCCAGTATGAACGCATGCCGAGGAAGTTCAGTCAAGTAGAGTCGAGCCGGCGAGCCAGCGGGTTTCAGTTGCTTCTCGCGCCGCAGCACGCTTGGTTCGATTCGCAGAATAGCAGCACCATAGTTCACGTATGCTTCTGATGCGTGTAGTGATCGTACTTGTTGACTTTGAATTACAAACTTGTGAACGTTTGTTTGTGCGTGGTTTTTGACGTTACTACTGATCGGATTACTTTTGTTCTATTGTGGTGTTGGGCTGCTAAAGGAGGCACAATGGCCGCAGTAAATATTTGTAATGTTAGTCGCTTCGGACAACATGATGATTATTTCAAACGAGTGAGTACTGATCGGTTGAAATTCATTATAATCGTGTTTGATTGGACGAGTTTTGACTTTTGTGGATTACGTTGAGTGGCTTTACATTATACTACTTAAACCTTGAGAACAATACACAACTCACCTCGTTTGTATTAACTTATACAGGTTTATTTACGATTTAATCGCATTTTTTATTCGTATTGATAATGCATGCTTATTTTTCTTTTTTAAATAAACTACATTGTCTGCATCTATTTCTGTCATCAAATGAAATATGCAGATGACTTGATGTAAATATTTTGTCTATTCATGATGTGGGTTTTGCTAATTATGCAATGCAGCGTATGAGACAAAAGATGCAATGCAAAAAGAATCAAGGACAAGGTCAATAATTAATTTGGAGCATCATTACTTAATGCAAGGATGTTGTTTTCGTAACAAAATAACTTACAGAATTTAATCTTATGAGTATGTTGACAATGTTTCCTTTTTCGGCGCTGTTTCTCCGTTCGTTGGTATTGAATACCAGAACTAATTTTATTTCCATTTATGTCATGTGCCAAGGCTAATGCACAATACATTCTACAAGTTTAGTTCGCTTAGAGGCTCTTTGTGTTAAATGAATATTTTCTGCCCGCGGACGTTGCCGAGTTCTTTTTGCAATTGTCTAGGGAAAGTGCATAATTAAAAATTTCCTCCCTCGCCTCGCGCTGTCGTGCCGACAAACAAACCGTTTTCGCACTCATCAACCGACCAATGGCAGACGCTTCGGTAGAACCATTTCATGAGAAAAACATTGCTTGCCCCAAGACCCGACCCGTACAGCGAGCTGTCTGTTAAAATTAATTCCGCCGAGATTTAACGCTGCACTTTGCTGTTTTTACTCCAGCTGTCTGGGAAAATTCGTTTTTATTGTTCCTACCCGAATGTAAAATAATGCGAATGTATAAATTCTCATCTGGTTTTGTACGCTGTTACTTCTGTTATATTAGAAAACAGAGGGCAAGGGGTGTAGGCAAATAAGACGGAAGCGTGGAGTGAAACAGGATACAGCAGAGCAACTGGAGCTTGATAACCGAACAGCTTAGTCAGATTTACAATTTGCATGTATATTCTTCTAAGATTTGTTCGTTCCTGCAACACTGCCGCAGTTTATGTAAGAGTTATTAGTGAGAAATGCGGGTTATTGCAGCATCGATTTGAGGCCGGAAATAAATTCAACATTTTCTTCGATTTCACCGAATTCAACGCATAGAACTTGTAGATTCTGTTGTGCAATGTAAGGCGTGGTAAATTACGGATCTCGTTCGTTCCTCTGTGCATTCGAGTAGATCATCTTCGAACGTGAAAATCGCACCATATTTCATGCTGTTTATTTATGAGACGTAATTCGTTTTCACACTTCGCAGCGGCGCGCAAATGTAAACACTCTCGAAGTGAGTGGATGAATGTAGATTTTAAGTGTTCACGCATTCCAGTTATGTACACATACCTGTTCAACGTAAACATGGCCCGATTGTGGTGTACTTCTTGTCTCGAATCATTCGAAATGGAGGAAATACAAATATTGAAGAGTACATTTTCGATGCGTATGTTTACACCTTATTACACCTTACTTTGAGAAAGAAAACTCATTAGTAATGTTTGCGCACGCTTTGTGCCACCGTGGCGCGAGTCACGAGTTGAATTAGTTTGAAGGTTCGTGATTGAAATGCTATCACGGAACGTGCAGTTTCAGGAGATTATTTCTTTACATTTTGTGGGTTTCTTTGGGGTGGAGCTACCTGTTGCGGGCAGTTTTAATTAATATATTGATTTTATGAAATTTCTAATTGAAACAATTAAGAATTTTTTGCTAAATTTGTGTTTTTGTTACAGGTTCCAGCCATGAAACGTGAAGCTGACGGCGACATGATGGGCTCCCCACAGAAACGGTCTCGTCGCGGAGACGAAGAAGTTCGTTTGCTCATACCCAGCAAGGTAATTACTCTCGTTCTCGGATCGAGCCAAACTTGTCACGCGGGCGTTTAACGGAAACTGCCGACGAAATGAGTAACGCGCGCCGCCGCGAGTGACAAACATATGCGTAATGCCGCGATAATTACAATGTTACACCGGAGTGCAATTTAATTATAGACCCAAGCGTGCGCATGTTGTCGATATGTTTGCGCCACTACCCCGGTTCTCGTCAACATGCTCCGCTCGGCGTGTTGCATCGCATTATTATCATCCGTCGACTGCGCCACTCGACTACACCGCCAACTTCACCGCGGATAGGAAAACCCGAACACATGTCGGGAAACACGATAATAATCCAGTGCGCCTGCAGTTGAACAGTTGTTGAAACTCACCCTTTCTCTATGCGGCTCGGTCGTATGCGGTTTTCGGTTTCGGCATTGATGAAGCACAGACACACACATGCCTATTAAATATTTTCAAGTAGGTTTTGTCACGCGACGTGTGTTGGTAAATATCGTGGTGCGCACGAAGACTCGGCGCCATTAATCATCGGATGCTGCCACCGAGGTGACTAAAGGCAAATGTATTCATAAGCATTTTCCGTGTTGCCTCGCGATTTTCCCGTGGGCGTTTCCTATGAATAGATCCGCTGCGCTCGCGACATGCTGCGACTCTCTCGGAATCGAGAATCCGCAAAAAGTCAGGAAATAAACTTCGTTGCGCTTAAGTAATTTTGCATTTCGCGTCGCATTGCTATTTCATATCAAAGTGCTGCAACTCGTGCGTTATATTTCACGACAGCGCAATTAATCGCGTTGATAATTTACAACTGCGCCAGATGAAGACGCACTTCGCGGTCGAATAAATCTTCGGAGATTTCCACACGTTCCACCGAAATCCGAAACATGTATTTGTTAGTTCACCATCTCTACGTATTGATTGAAAACGTAATTCCGGGAGACTAGCTCTCGAAGACGACGGAACAATGGATTATTAGGATCTATCGACGCCGAGATGGGCGAGGGTCTTTCACTTTTGTATAGCGATATGCATTAATAACTTTCTTGTTCTCTTGATTATCACGCTTGATTCTCCGCGTTTCACTTTATGAGACTGCGGGAATGTGGCATGACATTTACGACGACTTCTTGCCCCACAATTGTCTCGAATATGATGTTTCTGGGGTTCTAAATTCTGCAAGAAATCGCTTAAGTTAATTCGTAATCTAATTGTATTAAATCCTCCTAATCATATTATAACAAATACGTCGTAGATATAACATTAGAATTCAATATTTGCAGAATTTAGATTTGGTAATAGCCTATAAACTAACACTAATCGATTTCCGCTCTTCATATTATAAGAGTAGCGTTGCATTGCCCAAAGTGGAAAATTGCAAATTTGATCTGGTGGCAAATAGAATTTTCACTTCCATCCGCGCCCGAGGCGTCGAACCGCGCAGCGGAAATTCTATATTGCAAAAGTTGAACTTAACTCTCTTGCGCCTCTGTCTATAAACAAAAAACACAAAGTTTTTAATTACAAACTTTTGCGTGGTTTTTTGCATGCTCATCCATTGGTAACGTTCCACTCCTGTTGCAGGCCGCAGGTTCCATTATTGGCAAGGGCGGCCAGAACATTACGAAGCTGAGGAGTCAGGTCAGTATACAACCGGAAACACACAAGGCACTTTGAACAAGCAAGCGATCTTTAATTTTTCGATAAGCGGCGTGTAAACGAACCGGAAGAGGGTGCTTTAAAAGCGTAGGAATTTAGCGAGTTGCTACTCTCGCCCCTCGGAGCATGACCTCGCCGTGTGCTGCATAATTTAGTTTCCCCTGAGACTCATCACGAGGAAAGTGAATCATCATGAATAAGTCATGCGCAATTTTTTCACATTTTTTTAAACGAACAGAGAAAAAAATGATTATAAATTTACTCATCTCGGGTGGCTGAAAATTTGATTTTGGATCATGTTAAAATATGGATTTTAATTTATTGAAACGAAAGTGATTTGTAGTTCATCAAGTGTCCAAATGTGTTTAAAATCTTTGAGATTCCAGCAGCGCTAGATGTGTCGCTCTGTGTCGCAATGTGTTTTAACGTTAAATTTCTTCTGCCCCCCGGCCCGGCCACCCGTCCACCTGACCGCCCGCCCGCCCACCAACATTTTGACTTGGCATACCATCGGTACCACCACAGTACAAAGCCTCGATTACTGTCCCTGACTGTCCGGGCCCAGAACGGTAAACGAAACAAAATAATTCACCTCTATTTAGTTGTGCTCACTCCGGTCCTGGTTGCACTGCGCTGCTACTACAACTTCTTACCCTCTGATCTTTACATTTACATTATCTAGAATATTACTCTTACAATTTAATTTACATGTCTATGTTCTGTGTACGTGAGTGTGCGTGTGTGTGTGTGTGTTTGTGTTGTGTCTATCTTATCGTGCCGTGCTGCATATAATTTCTTCTTCTCTGTCTGTTTTAAAACTTTCAACCTAATGAATACTACGCTAATGCTACCCTCTTTACCATAACATTAATAAACGCAGACTCATCTTTCGAATTAGATTTGTGGCTCCCTGTTTGAAATTTGCAAGCGGTGCGAATACAGCCCAACCTGCTTGACACGTGCTACGTTTGTGTGTGTGTCTATCTCTCTTGATTATTATCGTTTGATTTTATTTATTGTGGGTTGTGAAGATGATGTGCGGGCATCGGTTTAACGGCGGTGCAACCAGCTAGGTGATGTCCCTCCTCTATAATTTTATTCTGTTTATATTTCATCTAGCCAATGGATAACTGATATTTATATGATCATTGTAAATTACATTCTTGCTTAGGTAGAGGTATAAACCTTATTAAATTTTCCTGATGATGATTAGAACCCATGGACGACCAACGCTCACACACTAATCAACAATCACGAAACAAACACATTTTTCAAATGCAGCGAAATAAGGCGTCAGGATTACGCAACACTTTGTAGGTGCATATTTGTAATTTGTATTTGGGTCGTGTTGGATGCTTACTTGGGATGCAAATCCTCGATGCGTATAGACAGACACACCCGTTATCATTTCGCACCAGGCGTCGCAAAGAAGTGTCACACATTTTATCGATGGCCGTTCCCCGACTACCACCACCAAGCGCTAAAACGAATAATATGCAAACATTTAGGCATGCCCATAAACCGAAGTCATCGAAATCTCACTTGCCGATGCTATCGATGGCATAAGTTGATCGAACATTTACTTGCAAACCAATCGAGTCTCTACCACTAACTTGGTACTAAGTATGTTTTGCTTACAGGATGCTCACACTCTCCTCCGACGTGCCAACCATCTGCAAGATCATCACCGATGTCATTCCAAATTTGGAACAGGTGAGTGTTTGATTTTCTGGCGTTGCTCGCTTCGTATTAGACCGCTTGCTTTTGTGCCCCCGCATCACATCAATTATTCTATTCTGGCGGCAAGTAATACCGGTATTACTGGATAGCACTCGGAAAGTGCATCGTGCAATACTTGACATATTGAGTGCGACACGCTGCCAAGCAGGAAGCCATCATCTTTTCCCAGACAGTCTGTAAATATTTCTTGTGCGGGGCATGCAAGAAAGCAACGGCATTTATTTTTTTACTTTTGTTTGCCTTTTCCTGTTTTGTGTTCCTGGGCGTTCCACGGCGCAATATCCACGTGCATTATTTTATCGACGACCGTTTCGAGCACGAGCGCGATTTTTAAAGGCAAGCATAAGTGCATTATGAATTTATGCTTGATATAAACTTCACTTATACGAGCGCGGCGAGCAATTTTCTCCCGGGTCGTTTCATTCCAAACTGTAAACGATTACCGGATTGGACCACGCTATTACTACTTTGTTATAATTTATACCCATTACTTATTTATATCGTTGTTTTTGTGTAGAATGGCGCCAAACAAGAGGACGATTTGGATCTCCGCATGATGATACACCAAAGTCAGGCGGGCTGCGTTATTGGCAAAGCTGGAGCTAAAATCAAAGAACTACGAACGGTAAGTGAGAAATAATTATATTTTCCGAGAGATTACGGTTTATTATTGTATCGTCTTAAAATGATGTAGACTTTTAGCCGCCACGCGTACGCTATTAATATTTAACGTTTGATATAATGCGAATGGTAGACGTTTGATTAATTAAAAATGTTCAACTTGAGATGGATTTGATGGAGCGCTCGCAGTCCTCGTTTAAATGAATCATGGTGCTTTGTTTAGCGATTTGGCAAACGGCCAGTAATGCTTGCGCGTTTGGTGGAGGCGCCGGGAACTTGGAACCTACGTATAAATTACTGTACAGGTTGCGACACAAAGAATCGTCTAGGAATGTCGTGAGTTTGTAGTTTACTTCTTTGCGTTCAGGGATTCGGCGCGACAATTTTTTCCAACCGTAATAATAAAAAGCATATGAATCCATTATGTGCAGTATGGCATGGCAAAAGTTTTAATGTCAAACCCAACAAGAAGCCGGTTTCTTTCCACGGTTTCCACCGAACGCCGTTGTTCGACAGTCACGAAAGGGTAGTTTTCATCGGGTTGCGTGAGCATGCCGCGCATTGTTGCCCTACTCTTTTGATACGCCTCGTCGTCGTTATGTTTATTGTGCAGAGCGGCAGTTGTGCATCGGCCACGCCACAAGTGTGATCATTTTTGCGTCGATGTGCGTTTTATTGCCGCGGTCGCGGTGAAGCAGTCGCGTAGCAGCGCGTTCGCCGGCCGGAAGAAACCAAGGGGACAGGTGCGACACGCGGGGCAGGTGAAACGCACGCGCTCGCCGCCCGCCGTTCGGTTGCTCGCGTGTGGAGTCAGACAGGCGCGCCGAACCTTGATCGATACGGGGCTGCACTGTACGCCGGCTGCCTAGCACGCCGCACGCACGTCGTGCCATTCCGGAACGAGCGTCCTTTGTTGGCTCGCGTTGTGTCACTCCTTGCGACTTGCGGTTGCTTTGGTATTTTGCTTTTTGTGCGCCTCGCGACGTGCGAAAAAGTGTGCAACGCATTTACATTGCGTCTTTGTGCATCCAACTTCTACGACAAGCTCCACGGCTTCAAACAAATACCAGTTTCATTCATAAATTCAGCGAAACTCGCTGAAAATGTGGAACATCGCCATAGATTCCAAAGGGATTTACCCGAACCACATCAGAACGTAAGACGAATCACGAAACTTGAATTTTCTTTGATTGTTTGTTAATTAAACATAAATTCAAAGTATTTCACTTTTAATTGGACTGTACGACATTGATTCGGTTTGTTCTATTTGCTTGTATAATTTGCCAAGACATCATTTTTACTGAAGTTCAAATTTGTTTTTCAAGTGGTGGTTTTGCGATAGCGTGCTCGGCCGCACAGCAAATTCTTTTGTTTTTTAATACTCAACGTGACTAAAGCGGAGTGGGTTGGTGGTTGCATGATACCCGGAAAAAAAGGTTAAAGTTTTATCATCAAATATTCACACGGTGGCCGCCGTTGGTTCTCGGAAACGCTAAATTTCAATCGACGATAATCTATTTTGACATTCATGTAATGAAATTAATTCAATGTGCCTTACCTTCGATCAATATTTCCCTTGTTGGTTCTCAGATCATTTCAGTCTTTTCAGACTTCGAAATGAACGACAATCACGTGTTGCTCAAGTTTCGACTACACGTTGGTGTAATTTGATTTCTATTACGTTATAATTTCTGGAAGACGTTTTTTGGAACTTGAATTGACTTGAACATATTTGATTCTTTTGAATATCTACCATCTAATTATAAGTTTTTATGACTTAGTAAGTTTTCCGAGTGGACTCCTTCAATCTTAATCCGCTCGAGCGGATGCAGAGATAAATGTCAGATTCAATCGAATTCAGACTGACAGTCGTGAAGAAAATCGAATTTCCTAAATCAAATTGCGGCTTTTAAATTGCCATTTCTGTGTTAATGTGGGGGAGGTTCGTTTCCATCTCATGTTTCTACTTTTGCGGCGATATTTTGCGATAGAAAGATTGTTATTTTATCGTAGTCTTTTTTCATTTTCTATAGAGTACTGGTGCTCGCATCAAAATTTTCTCCATCTGCGCGCCGCAGAGCACTGACAGGATCATTCAAATCAATGGGCAAGATTTTCAGTGCATCAATGCTATACAAGAAATTATCAAATTGACGAAAACTGTAAGTTTTGATTGCTTAACCGTTTGAATTGTATTGTGCAATATATTTATATTTAAACCTTTCTCCAGACACCGATAAAAGGAATCGTTAATCAGTATAATCCACACAATTACGATGAGTTTTATGCCGATGAATATGGTGGTTTTGGTTGCGGTGGGGGCGGAAACGGCAGTGGAGTTCAAGGCGATATGCGCCGCGGAGCTGGAGGCGGTCCGTCACGTGGTGGACGTGGTGGCGGTCCTCGGAATGGGGATCGCTTTAACAACCGTCCTCCTCCGCCTCGTGGTGGACCTCCACCAATGGGGTACGGTATTTTCCTGATATATTTTTGTATTTAACTTAAAAGTGAAATGATGATACTTCATAATTTTACTAACTTTTAATTGGTTAACGAATTCGATCTTGTCTCCAGGAATAACTTCAATGATCGCGGACCAATGGGACCAGGTCCTGGACCCATGCACAACCGTGGTAGTTTTGGTGGTCCACCGCCACCACCACGTGGAATGAACGGTGGGGGTGGTGGTATGAATGGAGGACCACCACCTTTTGAGCGTAATAACGGTTGGAGTAACGGACCACCGCCGCCACCAATAAATGGTGCCGGAAATGGTAACATGATGAATCAGATGCCACCGAATATGATGCAAGGGGGTGGAATGGGCAACAATAATCAACAACAATCCATGGGAGGCAATGGTGGCGGACCCGGTGGTATGCCACAAGGAGGCAATAACGGAAGCAATGGCGGTAGTAAGACATCGACACAGGTCACGATACCGAAAGATGTAAGTGTGGAGCTTAAGTTGTTAGCCAGGCACATAACGCCGTTTGTTTCGGTTGCAGCTCGCTGGGGCCATAATCGGCAAAGGTGGAAGTCGCATTAGGAAAATCAGGCAAGATTCCGGCGCTGGCATCACAATCGATGAACCACTACCGGGCTCCAACGACCGCATTATAACGATAACGGGAAATCCGAATCAAATTCAAATGGCTCAGTATCTGCTTCAGCAAAGGTAGGTTTTTGTTCGTTTCGTTAATATCTACGATATCGTGATAATAAACGCGTGATCAATTTGTGATATGTACATAAAAATATAAATAGTTGACAATTTTATTACTTTGGAAAATTATTGCAATTTGCGACCGAAATACAATTGCAACATTTTATGATTTTTATGCCAATGTTCTGATTTCCTCTTGACCCAAATATGAATTTTATAGTCTCTCCATTGAGAGAAGTCCGCTAAAGCCCAGAGAGCACTTCCATCAATCTGGGATCAACAAATCTTTCAAGCAGTTCGATAGGTAACTGAATTTTGCAAGCTTCTTGTTTTAATATTCTGTTGTCACGTTTTCATTCACGCCATAAACTAATATATGTATACATTTTTGAGCTGAATATTTAATCGGAATAAATAGCTAACATTAGCCGGTGTAAAGGCACATTTAGCGGACTTCTTTCATACTAATATCATAATTGTGTTACATTAAAATAATTAATCCAGTCGCAATTGCAGAAACACTGATATTCTATTAATCATGTTCAGTAATGATCATCTTTAACAACTAAGGTGTGGACAACTACTACCGTTTACTAACAAATAGGTGGAATCGTGTGGAAGACTAGTGATTTTGTTGTTCTATTTAAAGTAACAAAAAATCACTAATCATCCCATGAAACCTCCGACACGCTTCGTTGGACTTGGTGCTTAAAAGGCATGCTTCATTAAATCGCAATTGAAACTCTTTCATGAAATTCTTCATATCTTATATAAAATTTATTCAATTAATTTGAGTTATAATAAGGTATGTTGTTTTGTTGCAGTGTCCACAACAACACCGACCAACGAAATGGTTACTAAACCAAACACCAAAATGATTATCTATCTGGAGCAGACGCATCCAGCACAGCAACGATGGATAATACTTAAATATCAACAAACCCCAAAACTATTTTTTAAACAAATGAAAAAGTTTGTATAATTTTATATTTTAAGGAGTAATAAGCGCGTAGATAACAGAACTTGACATTCCACGGAAAATATTTCTAGATGGGCATTAGGTTTAACAGTTTTTTTTATTTGATTTTACAAATCAATTTTACACTCTACTATTCAAATTTTATCGTAACAGAGGAACAAGATCGAAAATCAGACACCAAAATAAATATTTTTGCGAGTATTTTTGCATTCGACAATAAATATTTTTTTAAATACTTTTACGATATTAGGATGATTGCCAAGTATTCGTAGACGGGCTTGTCAGTGTTGAAAATCAAAATGTTCGGCCTCCATCGGTTTGTTTTTGCTTGTCAAGTTTTTCTTTTTAATTCTACATTCACATTTTTACAATAATTCGTTTTTAGTTTTACATTTAATTTTGAAAAAGACTGGTAATTACTTAGTTTTTGCTTAGAATTATTTACTAATTATTAAAAGACATGGGAAAGTCGGTCTGATCAGTTGTGCTTTCAAATATGTAATACAACTTCATAAATCATCCTATATCTAAATAATGCTATACATAAATGTGACAGATCAGAATTTGGTTTTGGTTTGTAAGTCCTGGATTGGACATTGCATAAGTTTTAAGTGTCGATTTTCTTTACATTTCATATCACATCAAATACGAATGACTGAAATGAGTTTTTTTAGTTCCATAACATGTAATAGCGCATAAATACTTTGTTGCAGATGATTAGGGCATAATTTGTGACATGTTAGGTTGATTGTACAGTACTAATAAAATGACAGAAAATTTACAGAGCGGTCGCGATGCTCTTACCAATCAGGGAACAAATTGTTTAGTACAAAAAGAGAAAACCTTTATTCGTTACTTATATAAGATGAAAGAAAAATTAAATTAGGTCGAAATCTGTCTGTTCCATGAGACAAAAACAACTTGTAATGGGAAACGACTTGCGTGCAAAGAACTTATACATAAAAGAAAACAAATGTCAACCAAATATTTTTCTAGTTTAGTTTTAGTTTATACACATATGATCTAATAATAATGGAAACGTTTTAGAATAGCGCGTATACCATAAAATATGTATACATATAACACATAACAAAACAAACAACAAATACATACATATTCTAATCAATATTATTCATGATATCTTTTGTATGACTCGGGGTCATTCATATCGGCTGTTGTTTTTTCCTGTTTAGTCAGTCGGTGGTACGCATGTGTACTGTGTGCACGTATCCTCTTTCTCCTCCGTCACTGTTCGTCGCGACTGTTAGTATTTCGGACGATTTTACTACGGTGCGAGCCTTATAATTGTTTAGTCATCGATTGCTATCAACTACTGAAGATGTAATTTACCTCGACCCGACTCGAGACTTAAGACCACTACGTGCGCGTGTTTAAGCCATCAGCCGCCGGCCGTCGGATCTCTTTCGTTGGGCTACGGATTCCAATTGGATTTATAGGTCAAAATGGTATTGTTAATTGGAGGGGACAAATCACGCGTTTTCTCCGTGTGGCATAGTTGTTAGTACAAAAGTAATACAGTGAGTAGTACCATCAATTCTACTAACAGTTCTACTTTGTGTGTAACGTTTGATAAGAGAGCGTTGTGGCTCGATGGTACGTAGGATATGCCTTGGATCGTACATATGTTCGTTTTATTAAAAGGGAAAGAGGAATCTATTGTTAAACACAATTAATTAAACTCAATTTAAAATTAAAATATCATTCATACTTCTTTGTGATATCCTCTTTGTTGTTTTCAGGATATGCGTCTTAAATCATATTTCATATGAAGCTTAAGTAAGTGCAACATAGCTAAGGCATGTGTTGTTGTTTTTAAAAAGTTGAATAAATTAGGAACATAAATAGAAGAATCAAATATGAATGATAAAAACACTCGGTGGTCGAGTGGGTACGTGCACCTGCTGGCATGCTAGCAGACACGGATCGAATCTCAGGTATGGAAGGCACTTTTCTCAAATATAAAAATATCAGGTGCAATTTGGGTTGTATATATAAATTGCAACGAAATATGAGAGAAATTGAAGTACAAGTGAAGGCAATACGAGAAGTAAGAAAGTAAGTGGTGAAACGAGAACAGAGAAATAGAAGAAGGAGGAGTAGTAAAGAATAGGAGAAGATAGAAGGAAGAGAACAGAGATAGAGTAGAGTAGAGAAGAGGAGAAGATAGAAGAAAAAGAACAGGGGAGGATCAGATTTTTAAATTTTTGGCACGTGTCGTTATAAGACAGT